CAGCTCGGCGGAGAGCTGCGGGCTGATAGGAGCGCGGACAACGCCCCCCCAGCCGAGAGACGCGTCCGTACCGAACACCTCGGGGCAAGGCTGCGCCCGAAGGTCGGTTATAGCCGTAAAGGCTAAAAAGGTGCAGGCCAGAAGCTCGTCGCGAACATAAGGGGGCAGGTCGTATTCGATGCCCTCCTCGGTCGCCAGGCGCGACAAGAAGTTGTAGACGTGCGTAAAGATGGCGAGCATCGGACGGCGATAGAGGAAGACCTGGACCCAGCAGCCCACAAGAGAGGCTAGCAGGGAGCGTGTGGTGATGCCGAGGTAGATTTGGATCAGGGTCAGCCTGCACAAGGCCACCGTCCGCACAAGAGGAGCGCAGACGATGCCTATGCGCCCTTCCACCTCGGCGCCCACCACCACCTTGTGCGTTTCGCCGCGCGCGCGCTTGCCTGGATGCTGTATCAGGCCCACGCGCGGGTAGCCCGCATCACAGGCGGCGAAGACCTCACGATCACGGCGACACGGGTCGTCGGGGCGAGGAGCGGAGCCACGCCACGAGAGCTTCTGAAAACCTGTATGGTCATCAATATTCAGCATCTCGACAAACGGGCCCCGCGGGAAGGGCGAGCGGTGGACAACCTGCTCGTGAGGCCGCAAAGCCCCGAAGCTGTGCAGGACGCCTTCATGCGCAGAGTTGGCAATCTCCACAGCCACGTTGTCGCCCATCGCCAGAGCATTGAGGCAGGGCGCGACATCCACACCTTCAAGCTCGGGGCGCCAGGCTCGAAAGGCCTTGAAGCGAGATGATGGCAGACGAACGCGCAGGGCGTTACGCCTGGCGCGCGCGGGAGGGACGCGGAAAGTGTAGTAAAACTCCCGTAGGTCGTCACAAGAAACTGCCAGCCATTCCCCAGGCGCCAGCCCCAAACGGCACAGCAGGAAACCTTGGCCAAGGCGCTGGGTGCTGGACGAGATTGAAGCACAGCGGCTGTTCACGACCGTTGGGTTCAGGATCAACCTGTCGAAATCGCTGTCCTTCGGTACCCTGAAAGCTCCACAGGCTTCATCCCAGGCGAGGTCCGAAGCAGGAGTCAGGTACAGGGCGCCGCAGGCATCCCACTTCTGGAGTAGGGCCCACAGCTCGGCGCGGTCCATATGGACGCGCGCCCCCTTTTGGCCAGCAGGCCACTCTGACGCCGGTAGTCGCATCACCTCAGGATCGATGAAAGCTTCGCGGACTCGAGCGTCAGAGAGGAAAGGAACGGGATCAAACTCTGGCGAATAATCCCACTTGATGCGAGACGCCCTGACTTTCAAATCGAAGGGCTCGGCCTGGGTGGAGTCCCAAGCCGCCGCAGACGCCAGCGAACCAGGCACGGAAGGAGCGCTGGTCGGGCAGTGCCGCACGGGGGCGGGTACGGAGGAAGAGGAGGTGAAGGAGGCCTCCAAAGCTGCAACATGGGTGGCCAGGCCATGGAGCGAGACCTCAGTGGAGTCGAACTTGGCGAAGGCTCGACCTAAGTCGCTCTTGCCGCCACGGGCGAGGCGAACTGCGATCCGACACAACCGTTCGATACGGGTGCGGACGCCCTCCTGGCAGGGCGAGACCGTGGCGCGGACGCGAGCCTCGGCGGGAGCGAGGCTAGGATGACCCAAAGTGAGCCAGTTCAACGCAATAACAGAATACTGCGCGAGCGTCCGCGCCGCGCGCCGCAATCTCCAGCGCTCCCTGCGCCTCGCCGACAAGCCGTCAGGCGGGGGACCAAGAGGTGGAGCAGGCGGGCACGGCCAAGGATCGCGGGGAGGCGGCCCCAAAAGGTACGGGTCGTCCCTGTCCATTGCACGCATTGATGAGCGGGAGAAAGATCCAAGAGAACATCGAGCACCCATCCCAACCTGGGACAGCGCTGCCGCCCAGTGGGTGATATCAATGTTCGCGCCTGGAAACAGGCGCAGCAAGGCAGACAAGTCCGCGACGAATGGCGCGACTTTGGCAAGCGCAGCAGGGGTGCTTGAAGGAGAACAGGCACCAGCAAGGACACCAACCTCAGGGGCTGCAGGCCCCCTGGAGGGCGCGCTCGACTGAGGCAGGCGTCGGCCAAAATGGCCGAAGGGATCCGAGAAGCGGTTCGGAGCAGAGCGAAGGGCGTGGTGGCGGAACGTACTCCTCCCTGCGGGGCCGCAACAGCATCGCTGGAGGAGCGCATTCCTACCCTCACGCCCTCGCTGCGCCCAAACGCGCCTAGCAGTCGTAACAGCGTCGGTGCAGACTGTTTGCGGCGGCGTACCCCGGCCCCGCGAAGGCCCACCCTTCCAGGAGGCGGGCGCCAAGGGCGTCTTCAGTCCTTCTTGGGCACCGCCTTCGGAGCCTTGGAAGCACCCTGAAACTTGAAGGGGGGCTTCGAAACCTTGGGCTGCTTGGGCTGATGAGGTGGATGCTTGGGAAGCGCGACGGCGCGCTCGGCGTCGAGACGCGCCCGAAATGCTTGCAGCTCCTTCATGTATTCGCCCTGCGCCGACAGCCAGCGAGGATCCACCAGGGGTGAGAATGGGGCCTGGGCCTCGCGCTCCGTGTGACGACTGGTCACGCGACACGGGGGAGGCTCCAGCCCCGTGAGGAACCAGGCGGCCTCGAGATAGCCGCGGTCCCCCGCCAGCTGGTCGATGAACATGCACTGACACGTCAGTAAGGTCTGGACCCTCTCGGGGTTGCCCTCTTCGCAGGCCCGCCACAGCTCGGCGCTGAGGAACGCGAAATGCGTCAACAATTCGTGCGTCGACGGCTGAGCCCCCAGGGGACTGTGCTCGCGAAAATACTGATGCATGGCCATGGGGGTCACGGCGCTGACTTCCACGCCCAGGACGCGGGCCAAATTCTCCTTCATCAGTCCTCGCACGTCGGGGCCGTGCTGTATCAGCGCTTGCTGCCACTCGCGCCTCCGAGCAATTCCCCCCATCTGAGCCGATGCGGGCGCGGGGTCGCCCGAGCTCGTGGGCGGAGATTGAGCTGGGTCGCTCAGGGTCCCCAGAAGCGGATGGACGGTTGGGCGATGGCCCCGCCCCTGCTGCAATAAGAGGGACTGGTGCAGGCACTGTAGCATGAGGCTGAAGTCCGTCGGATTGGCCGCATGGGGCGGCTCTGACCCGTCGGCGCCGCCCGCCTCGGCAAAGCCGTCGACCGCAGCGGGATGGGCTAGCCCAGGTGGCGGCGGGGGACCCATCGGTCCGAAGACGGACGAAGGGGCCCGAGGGACAGCAAGAGAGCGCGCCTTTTCCCACGCCGAGACCAGCGCGGAGGTCGGACCCTTGGGACGCGCGGAGACCCGCTGTGGGGCCACGGGCGCGTGAGACAGGACGGCCTCGATCCCCGCAGGATCCAGCCCGAGGCGCGCCGCTTCGTCGCTGAAAAGCTGAGGCACCTCGGGCCGATCGCTCCGGGCAGCCGGGGCGGGGCCCAGCGGCTCGGGTCCGCCGACCATCGTGGAGGCCGCGTGGGCTGCAAGCAAGGCGCGCATTTCGGCAGCTACTTCGGCACGGGTCATGGGAGCCCCGTCGTCCAGAGACGCCGCAGGAGCACCAGGAGCGATCGGAGCGGGACCCGCGACCCGTGGCGGGGCGGCGGCGCCCGCGCGCTTGGCGGGCGGGCCGCGCGGCACTCCAGTGACCGCGGGAGATCGCGCACTTGGGGCCGTGCGGTCGGCTTCCCCGTCGGCCGCGAACCCCTCGGGCTCCTCCATCTCGTCGGCAGAGTGATAGGGAGTAGCCCGATCGGCCCCTGGGAGCGGCTCTTCCCCTGCAGTAGGCGGGGCGCCGTGCAAGCGAGCGTAGCCCTCGCGAAGCACCCGAACCCCCGAAGGATGCGGCCAATAGACGCGGCCGCGCACCTCGGCGAAGGGAACGAGGACTGCGTCGTCGCCGACCTCTAGAGGGTAAAGCGACTCGAGCTCGAGCTCTGCAACCTCGATATCCACGACGAGGACGGATGCGGTAGTGGCGAGCGGCCGTGAAGCGGCCCCCTGGAGCTGGACGTCCACTAGCTGGAAGGGACCTATCATCCCCGCAAAGCCATCCGCCTCGGCAGCCTCGAGCTCCGCCGTAGAGCGAAAGGCGCCAGGCAGGGCCAGAAGGATGCCCCCTTCTCGAGAAGCGAGGGGGATAGCTGCCCAGCTGGTGTCGCCGTCGTCTAGGCGCCATCGTGCGTAGTCGCGCGCCGTGGGAGCAGCGAATGGGTAGAGCTCGGGCCAAAGAGGCCCCCCGCCAACTGGTGGCAGCTCCGCCATCAATGGGCGCCGCCGTGGAAGCTGCCGCCCGAATGCTGGGCGTCTGCCCGCTCGAGCGCTCGAGGTCGAGGCGGAACCCCGTAGGCCAGCGCTCGCGCCGCACGGCGGTCCTGCTCAGGGGAAACAGGAACCGCACCGCGCGGCCAGGCGGAGGCCCTGAGCCTCCGCCACACGTACGGGCCCAGCAGCCCGAGGCAGCAGCCTGCGCAGGCGCTGCACGCGGCCGTCACCCAAAGGAGGGCGACGACCGTGCTGAGCAGCCAGGGAGAGACCCCGCCGCTCAGATCCACCGCCAGCCCGAGGCAGACGGTGGGGCAGGCGGAACCCGCCGAAGGGAGGGGGCAGTAAGCCCCCTCACCTTCGGACGAGTCCGCCTGCTGGATGGACCAGGCAGGCGCAGGAGGCCCTTGGTCCTGAAGCACAGAGAAGGGGGCAGCCACGAGCCGCTCGTAGAGCGCGGCCCGCAGCCCCCTGAAGAAGATCTCCCCAGCGCCCTCGAGAGCCGCTTGTGCGACCGCCTGCATAAGGCGTCCGCACGCGCGGCCGACGGGGGGGCACTTGGGCAGAGAAGCTGCGGAGACAGCAGGAGCTTGCTCACAGAGAATAGAAGAAGCATGAAGAGGATGAGCAGCATGAGGAGGAGGAGGAGGAGGAAGAGGACGGGAGGAAGAGGATTAGGAGGAGGAATCGGATGAGCAGGATGAGGAGGATGACGAGGATGAGGATGAGGAGGAAGAGGATGAGGATGAGGAGAAGGAGGAAGAGGGGGAGAAGGAGGAAGAGGAGGGCGAGGAGGAGGAACAACGTGATGCCTCTGGCGGCCGGGCCCGATCTCACCCTCGTGATCGTCATCGCCACCAAGCATCACTCACAACCGAGAACGATCACCAAAATCATCATCTCACGGGGGTCGTCGCCGCCGCGAGTCGCCACCATCATCTGAGCATCGTCTATCCGACCCCCATCCCCAGCGGCGTGGCCTGGGCCCACTGGCCGATTTACCTCCCTATATGGGGATACAGGCCGTTCCCTTCGGGTCTCGATGGGTGTATCTCCAACTGGGGTGGTAATTTGGTGGGGGTCTCGAAGGGGATGAGGATGGGGATGGGGGTCGGTTAAACGATACTGAAATGATCATCATACTCATCATCTCATGGGGGTTGTCGTCGCCATCATCATCGTCACCGTCGTCGTCGCTGCGAGCAGCCCGAGCTCGCACCCGAAAGCCGCAGCCTGCCCGCGCTGGCGTCCGCTCAGCGCTCCGCGGGCTTGCGGGTGACGGCCACAATCAAGTCATCACGGGTTGCGATCGAGATCGTCCGCATGGTGGTCTCAACAACCACCAGAGGTGGCTGTGCCGCGCCTGGCTTCAGCTGCGCGCAATCCGTGGCGATGTCGGCCAAGCGCGATGCCTGGGCGGGCACGAGGTCGCCCCGCTGGCCCACGGTGAATCCTCGGTGGTCGAGGCAGACGACGCCGCAGACGCCAGAGGACGACTCCCGGTCCAACAGGCCTTCCAGGACCGCGCCGACGGAGGCGGCCTTCTGCCCGCCGGGCGCCATGGCGGCGCAGAAAGCGCCGCGGAGCGGCGGGGCGGCTTCTGCTGTGGGTGCTGGCGCGCGCTTGAGCCAAAATGGCTACGGACTGGGCCACCACAGAGCGATCTTGCTCGCATCATGCAGCACAGAGGCACAGAGGTCGGGCCGACAAGGCTCTGGTCGTGATTTGCTGCGACGCTGCAATGCTGCCGCGACATCGGGTCTCAGGGGGGAGGCGCTCGGGAATGGGCTGTCCTTCCCGGGCGTGAGGGGGGGGTGGGAGGTTGATCGCGTGCGCGCGACGGTGTCGGAGTCGGAACGGGCCGGCCGGCGGGGAGGCATCGGGCGGGCGCTGGTGTAAGCAATATGGCGGGCCCGCACTCCCACCCACCCGGACGGAGTGCCCTCCCTGTCTATCGCCAACTCCTGAGGATTCGTCCAAGAGCTCGTCATTTCGGGGCCCCAAAACCGTGTGGTGACGGACCGCGTGGTGACCTCGAACTCCCCAGCGACCTCACTGCGCGGTCGTCTTCGGAGAAAGACCCGAGTCTCAAACCCGTGCGGCGGCCCAAAATCCCCGCGGCCTGACCACACGGTGTGGTCACCACACCGTCTGCCCCCCCCCCCCCTGTTCTCGGGTGCTGGGCCATCAACAACACGCTGGGGAAGGGCTGGCGAGCTCTGCGGCCCACGTTTTCAACATCGCATGGAACTGGAGATCCTGAAACTTCCCTCGTCGGCTTGTACTTAGCTCTCGGCCTCGTGCTGCGCATCTGCGCCCACAGACTCACCGCGCGGTGTGGTCACCACACCGCTTGGGGCCCCGAGTCAGAATCTGTCCCTGCGCCCTTCTGGGACGCCGTCCTGATCGATCCTTGGGGTCAGGCCCCACCCCGGCAGTGGCGACGCGCAGGAACCCAGCGGCCCAAGAGAAGTCCGACAGCCCCCACCTAAGGTGGGCACGAAGGCGCAAAGGACCGACGGAAGCAGGTTACAGCATCGCGGCACGGGGTACCGCAGCTCGCGCTTCGCGGCGACGTGGCGAGCCTGCGCCGTGCTGCGCACTGCCACAACAGCTCGCACAAGGCCACTTCGCTCTGGAGAGGCACCTGGAAGCTGTTGGAGGCCACTGCAGGCTCTTTGGAGGACGGGATCCCCGGGAAGCTCCCTCGAGGCCCCGCCATGCCCTTGCAGGCAATCATGGATCTGTTTGCGGTCCTGCTCGGGTCCGCGCAGCCCTCCTCCGCCATCATGGATCGCGCAACACCCACGCAAACTTCTTGTGCCATCTCCTTGGAGAGCCCGGAAGCCTTTGGAAGCCGCGCAGACTTGGCCTGTCAATCGCCACGGATTTGCAGGCCCAGCGAGTCGCGCTAACAAAGTTGCCTGCCACAACCCCTTCTTCCCCTGCTCGCGGGAGCGGTTTATCGCTGTTCTCTATTAATATGCACCCCCTCCCCCAGGCGACCGGCAGCCAACCAGGAACAATGCCGACCCCACTCCCCCACCAACCATCCTTGTCACAGAACAATATGTAACACACTCTGCCTCCAAATTCGGAGCATGTGCAACCAACCCGATGCAGTCCTTCCCATCATCCCTGTCAACAAATAATACAACGTACGCTGTGGGGCAGAACATTGAGCCATGCTCGTGAGGCCCGCGAGAACTGTGTATTGTTTTCACAACCATCCTCTGGGGTTGGGTCCTCGTTTTGAAGAAACGGTGCCCGCATCTCCTCCTTCTCCCCTCCTCCTCCTGCTCCAGCTCCTCCCTCCTCCCGTCACCCCCTTCATTTTGCCACACCCCTCACTCGTCTCGTGGCCCCATAGGGAGGCCCGCCGAAGGCCCTGATGCCAGCGCTCGCATGCGGCCGCTTCACCCATTTCGGCACACCACTCACACGTCTCGTGGCCCCATAGGGAGCTCCGCCGAACGCCCAGATGCCAGCACTCGCATGCGGCCGCCTCACCCATTTTGGCACACCCCTCACACGTCTCGTGGCGCCAGAGGGAGCTCCGTCGAAGGCCCAGATGCCAGCGCTCGCATGCGGTCGCCTCACCCACTTTGGGCACACCCCTCACACGTCTCGTGGCCCAAGACAGAACTCCGCCGAAGGCCCAGATGCCAGCGCTCGCATGCGGCCGCCTCACCCACTTTTGGCACACTCCTCACACGTCTCGTGGCTCCAGAGGGAGCTCCGCCGAAGGGGCAGATGCCAGCGCTCGCATGCGGCCGCCTCACCCATTTTGGCACACCCCTCGCACGTTTCGTGGCCCCCAGAGGGAGCTCCGCCGAAGGCACAGATGCTAGCGCTCGCATGCAGCCGCCTCACCCATTTTGGCACCCCTCACACGTCTCGTGGCCCCCAGAGGGAGCTCCGCCGAAGGCATAGATGCCAGCGCTCGCATGCGGCCGCCTCACCCATTTTTGCACATCCGTCACACGTCTCGTGGCCCCCAGAGGGAGCTCCGCCGAAGGCACAGATGCCTGCGCTCGCATGCGGCCGCCGCACCCATTTTGGCACACCCCTCACACGCTCCGTGGCCCCATAGGTTGGATGTCTTTCCATGGGAGCTAGAAATCAACGCAAGACGAACCATTCCGTGCTATCTAAAGTTATTGAACTCCAATGAAGGACTACTCGCCGGTGCTGTTTAAGGCCAATTAAGGTCATTCAAGGCCATCAGTCATTTTAAGCAGGTTGAGGACAACACCATCGGTCGCGCTTTATGGTGACGGCGTTTGTGCTGAGGTCTTGGCCGCCTAACTTCGCCATCGCCTTTGCCTCCTGTCCCGTTCAACGTTGGTGGGCGCATTCCGTGCGTCCCCAACGCAGGCAAGCGTCCGCCGGAAGCAGGCGTGCGATGTGCGCCGCAGAGAGCCCCATTTGGCCTTAGTAGGCCTTGAATGAGAGCAACATGATTACCGGGAGCTCCCATGAAAACCACCCAACATAAAGAGCTCCACCGAAGGCACAGATGCCAGCGCTCGCATGCGGCCGCCGCACCCATTTTGGCACACCACACGCACGCTGCGTGGCCGACAGAGGGAGCTCCACCGAAGGCCCATGTGCCAGCGCTCGCATGCGGCCGCCGTACCCTTTTGGGCACACCCATCACACGTTTCATGGCCCCAGAGGGAGCTCCACCGAAGGTACAGATGCCACCGCTCGCATGCGGCCGCCGCACCCATTTAGGCACACCGCTCACACGTTTCGTGGCACCATAGGGAGCTCCACCGAATGCGGTGCATACAACGACGGTGCCCCTAACTGCATAACTATGGCTGGGCCGTTCGCGAGACGAATTTGACATGCACGGCGTGGGTGTCAGCATATTGCCTGTGTTGCGCAGGGCTACCATCCCTGACAAAAAAAAACATAATCACCTCGCGGCTAAATCTGGATCATGCGCGGCCACCCCGCGATCACTGTCAAGCGGTTTCCCACAAAGACGACAAACGTGGTAACATATAACCTGGTGTGCCCAGGCCCACCGGACACAATGATGGGCCTTGACTTTCGACAAGGGTGGTGGGGGCCGGCATGTTTTCCGATATGTGCTGCTACGTGCGCATGCGCACATGGCGCAATCTGCAAGTGGCCCAATACTGGCGCACCTGGCGCGGCTGGAGTATGCAGCACACCTGGCGCACGCGGAGCACGTGGCGTATCTGGCGCACCAGGCGTGCCTGGCACACCCGGGCCCGTGGGGTGCTTGGCGCGCGTGGCGCGCCTGGCACGCGTGGCGCACCTCGCCCCAGCGTCGAGCACATGGGGTCGGTGTTGGTTCTCAGTAGCTGTCCATCCAAAGACGGCCGCTGAACATGCTGAGGCTCGGATGTTACTTATGTGTTGGAAGGGCGGGTGGGAGTGAGCCGTCAGAGCAGCCAAGATGGCCCTAGATGGCTCCAAGAGGGCCCAAGACAGCCCAAGAGGGCCTCCAAGACGGCTCAATATACTTCAACCTTGTTCGAGATACCCTCCGACAAGCCTCCAAGACGCCCCAAGACAACTCCAAGAGGGTTCCAAGTGCCACTCCCGCCTCCCAAGGCAGGCACCTCCCAAGAGGCCCAAATCCTTCAACAATCAAAAGAAATCAAGGTTGTTTGGCTTGTCGCCGTTTCGCTTCTGATGAGCTCCTTGGGCCTCATGATGGCTCCAAGATAGCCCTAGAGAGACCCCAGAAGGGCCCAAGACTGACCCAAGACGGCCCCAAGAGCGGCCCAGAAGGCCCCCAAGAGTCCTTCTTGGAGCTTTCGAAGGGGGGCACTCAATTGATTCCCTCCCTTGGTTGATCGATCTCCCCCAAGATGGCCCCAAGAGAGTCCAAAGGGGGGCCCAAGACGGCCCCAGGAGGTTCCCCAGAACCCCACAAAGCCCCAAGGGGGGCCCTGGAACCCCCAAAGGAGCCCCGAGAGGGCCCCCAAAATGCCCCAAGTGGCTCCGCGAGGACTCTCAGAGAAACCCAAGACGGCTCCAAGCGACCTCCGAGAAAACACTTCCAAGGCGGTTGTCACACTGCATGCATCTACACTTTCATGATCGAGGCAACTCGCCTGGCGATCTGTTTCTGGATAGGATGGTGGGGATACGCGAAGAATGAATCAATTCTGCGAGGCCGCTGGAGTGGAGGCGAGGTGTAGTGGGTGCTATGGCCAAGGCTAGTGACAGGTCATCCTACTGCCTGATTATGGCAGCTCAAGATGAGGCTAGCGACAGGGGTTATCACTGGCGACAGGTGCAAAGATAACTGGGACTGGCGGCATACAACGTATGCGATTTTATCGCAGCTGATTAGCCGAGGGTACTGCTAGCTAGTGGCAAGAGCCAGTCGGGGCCGCAAGAATCTAGATTACATGCGAGACAGCATGCGGGCGGGCGACGTTGAAGACATACGTAGTGGAGGATACATGGGTGGGCGCAGGCAGCAAAACCCTGGGCGGGCCACGCTCCCGATTTGGAGCTGTGACTTCGCAGCAACGCCGCCGACACTCTTGACTTGGATCTCAGCTTCCGCCTCTTAGGAGAGCACGACCCAACCCCACCCCCGCCAGGACCCCCTGGATCACCAGGTCGGGAGTGGGGGTCCTGGTGGGGGCGGGGGTGGGTCGTGCTGTCCTCGGCCTCAGCGCGGGCCATGTTTCCAACAACCAATCGCGTCGCCATCAGAGAGCAGCGTCAGACACTTGTTGATTCAGAC